CACATAGTCTTTAAAAATCTGCTTCATGGACGCTCCTCTATGCCGATGACGTGATGCTCGCCTGCGAAGAAGAAAAAAACTCACTCGAGCAGCAAGTGCAAGCTTGGGCCGATCGCCTAGCGATGTTCGGACTCAGGTTGAATGTCAAAAAGACCGAGTACTTGACAACCGACTTGAGCGAACACAGTTCGGTAAGAATTAACGGCACAGAGCTATCACGCACGACCACGTTCAAGTATCTTGGATCGGTAATAGCGTCAGATGGTAGTATGGGTACTGAAGTGAGTTCACGCGTGAGTGCTGCATGGTCCAAGTGGCGTTCTATGACGGGTGTTCTCTGCGACAAGAAAATTCCAGAACGCCTGAAATCGAAGATCTATAGGAACCGTCATAAGACCAGTGGCAATGTACGGCGCTGAGTGCTGGCCCACGACTAAAGAAATGAAGCCCGCCTCGGTGTAATGGAGACGAAAATGCTGCGCTGGACGGCTGGTGTTCGTGTTTGGATAGTAATCGCATCGCTTCAATCGATCTTTATGGAAACGATGACAGTGTGCATAAAATGGGCCTTAACATAGACATGCCCGGAAACTGTCTAACAAGGGAGGTCTTTCAGGGCAAGGTGCGCTTTTTGGAAACGGTTTAGTACATGTTGTAGGGACGCATGTATGGACCACAAAACCATGTTTCGTTTTCGCTGAACGGTTTTAGTAGTACCAAAAAAGTGGTGAATAATACTCTTGATGGTTCAATCCCCCCGGCGACTAAATTTTGCAATCAAGGTTGGCGGCCACTTGTTGGCTTCAAAATGGTCCTGACGATGAATTTGACATCTGATTTTGATATTTAGCGCGATTTGGCACCAAACCGTAGGCGCCAACCCAAATGCAAAATTTAGTCGCCACGGGGATCGAACCCTTAACAGTACCTTATGCTTCTTTTTTGGTACTGCTATAACCGTTCAGCGAAAATGAAACATGGTTTTGCGTTCCCTACATGCGTCCCTACAATATGCACAAAACCGTTTTGAAAAAGCGCACCTTGCCCTGAAAGACCTCCCTTGTAAGGGTCGCTCAAAGCAACGCTGGTCTGATACGTTAGTATGCGGACTTCAAGTTGGCTGGTATCCATCCCGATCAGGCATTCGATCGGGAAGAGTGGCGTTACCAGAAAAGCGGACCCTGCCACCAAGCGGGATACTACGCTAAACAAGAACAAGATTTGTCTATGCCTTGCATTGGAACGGGACTTTACATCAGAAAAAATCGTCGAGGCTGTGAACGGAGTTCATGAAGACGGTTATTCGTTTTCGTTATTCTAAATACTATCACAAATTCTAATTAATGTGGCAAAACTTAACGACGAGCTATATGTTTGACATAGTAACTTCTAACAAACTGTGAACTGTTAAAAACTGTGATCCTAAACCACACAACAAACAAACAACACTAACAGCATGAACGGTATGGTATGGATTGTTTAGAAGAAACACCGTAGGAGCAGGGTGCCTGGCAATACAGTCAATCTCAGAAATAAGACTACGGTACTCCATTACAGCAACCACGAAAGGTTTGATCAGAAGTGAGATGTGATTCGATGGCAGAGCAGGAACTTGCTTGCAACACTGCAAGACATGTATGGAAGAGGTGTGAACTACACCCGCTGCTGCCCAAAGAAGACGAGGTGGTGGGTCACGATGAATCGCAACAGCAGTGTTCGTAACGGGCAAAAATGTACTCACGTCAGTCGCTGGCTACAGTTGGAAACATCTACAGTATTCAGGGCATGTAATCTCGGCATAAACAGTGCCAACGCGACCGCTTGGGTGCGGTCTCCTCTTCCCGACGGATTGTACCTGTTATTCTTTTGAAACCCGTACATCAGCTAGAACATTTGCTTGGTGCCGAGACAGTTGGAATGAACCAGCAACTAACAGGGTCGCATGGTCTTCGCAGTTGTGAGCTGTGTTCAGTAGGACTAGACTCATCCACATATGGCGAGAAGTAGGAGCAATGCACTCAAGACCATTTTGAACATGACTGTTTGATAATCTGGTAAATATGGTGCGCGAAGGCGTAGCAGTTGTGTACAGACCTCCAGACTCGTGATCACGCTACTCTTCTTGATCAAGGTCATTGTGATGGTAAACTCCTTCCTGATGTGCGTCTCGTCAAGGGTGTGCTATTACCTTCTTTTGTATGGAGCACAATGTGCGAGCCCATCCACAGTCTGGATAATTCTTGGAGCGAGAGAGCATTTGGCGATTGCTTGCTTGCCCCTTTCTCCCAGTCTACCTAAAAGCACCTAAGGGATGCGTTTGGGAGAGCGATCGCAGCACACACACATTCGCCAATAACTGTTCAGCAGTAGCCGATCGCGGTGCTCGAGAAATGCGACGTGCCTTCACAATAACTTATTACCAACCTTGTAGCCAGGAATGGAAGCACGTAACAGAGCACACTGCAGCTCGTGGCGTTCACCACCTATTGGAACCATGCCCTGTCTCTCAAAAATTCACCATGAAGGGGTACCTTCACCCAACAACCGCTTCAATCACTCTCACTTAGGAAGAGCCTCATCTCTTCTCCTCCCATTGCGTGTTTCTGTCAGTAACCCCCAGTGATGCCTCTAGCAGTCCCCTCTATGTAAGCTCTTATGAACTAGAATACTACCTAGCAGCGCGATATCATGCAAAAGTTACTCTCGCCCTTAAGTTTTCCACACCATTGTAGCACAATATCTGATCGTTTAGTAAGTCTACGACAGCTATTATTATTATTGTTATTATTAACTATTATTATAATATTTCAGATACAAGATTTGCTAGCAAAAAGTTCGTGTGGTTGCGTGTATCAAGTGCTGAGGCTTGAAGACGGGAAAATCCAGGCAATGAAGTGTGAAGCATTGAAAGTCAAAAATCCGGTGAGAAAATCCTAAACGTCTAATTCCTCCATAGAAAAATTTTTGAAACCTGGATGCTGAAGCGTTGGGCTAAAGAGCTCAATCTAACGGCAAAATATTCATGCCTTTACGACTGTCTAATTCGGCTCTTATTATTTGGAACTCGAGAGTACAAATGAATTCAAGTCAATTGATCATGACGACGAGCCCCCATGGACGTTCAGCGCTAGAACCTACGACAAAATTGCTCACTAAATACATCCTCCCTCTACCTTCTGGGAGGAAATGTTATGTTATATTATCGAGTATACGCACATATTCAGGCTAAGTATACCATAAGGTGTTTAAGTGCAAACCAAACAAATTATTTTTAAGACACTGAGACATGAAGCAAGAGTGTATGAAGCTCTGAAGAGCTACAGTTCGCCTCACTTCCTCACATACGAAGATCGCGGCTTGGTTGATGACCGTTTTGTATTCATTGTGCTCAAAATGGTAGGCCTCCTATGGTCTTCACTGAACTGAACCGCAAAAAATCTTTGAGCGAACTAGTTCGCGTTACAGGTGGGGAAAAATCTGCTGGACGTGCAAGCAGAGTGCCCAGACAAAAAATTCTCTATGATAACTGCGCTTCGCGTAGGCGAACAAACTCTTGCAGCCATTCGGGATCTCCACTTTGTGAGTTACACAACCCAATCATGGAAGTTCTTTTAAATCACATTCTAGTGTCGGACTTCTCTACTAGCGGGACTCATTGAGAAATCTCGAGAAGTAAGTTCTATTTCAGTGTGGTTACATCCATCGTGATGTCAAGCCGGACAACTTTGCAATTGGGCGAGAAGAAGACAAAACATCCCATACGATCTTCATAATTGATTTTAAATTTTCACGCAAATTCAGGTGACAGTAAATGTAGGGAGGAATGAACACATTGCCTGAAGAAGAGCTAAACTTAATTTTCCAGATCCGAAGGAAAAGATCTGCGGCTCCAACGAGCACAAGCCGCTTTCCGGGGTACACCGCGGTACGCTAGCATTACAGCGCTCAGCATGGTTAGTTCTACCACACAATCTTCTATAAAACAGGGCCTACATAGCACAAAGGTCGGATGTGCTATATTCAACACTCTAACGACTTGTCCAATTCATCTACATCCATTCACTTTGAGCCCACTGAAATAGCATGAAAACGTCGCAAGATCAGCTCTCTCTTCTAAATCGACATATTAACGAGGGGAATCTCCAAGGCTCGCCAGCTTCTTTGCTTAGACAACGAAGCTGTCATTGCATTCCTGAAGGGAAGGATCGGAATTGACACGTTGGTGACATCGCGCATTTTGGCTTTTTTGGCCGCGTGATCGGCGCGATTTTGCAGGCCCCTTCGCATCACCTCATAGCCGTGGATTTTGGTTGTAAATTCGCAAACCTGTATGCGACACAATTTTTCCATTATGTTCAATGTTTCAGCCTAACGGGAGTTACAGTCGTGGGAATGCGACCAAAATAACGTGTTGTTGCAATGAGAGCGCAAATTTTATGTACCTTTAGTGGTTCCAAAATAATTTTGAATGTAGTTGTTTTAGTGAAAAACATATATCTTACCGTACGAATAGGTTTGTATCACTTCTATATTCCTTTTTATCTACATGTTTACGTTAATGAAGAAAGAAAATGAGGAATGAACTGAACGGATATTTTCGTAAGGTCCGGAAAACCTCTGCCAAACTAAAGAATATTTGGCCATTCTGTAAGCCACTTGGTTTTTGATGTATGGCTTATAGAATGAACACGAAAAACTTGAGCTGAAATTGAGCATTTGCGAAAAAACAGATGCAATGGGTGTGGCATACGCAGTGTGCCACAAGATC